CTCTACCACTTTGAGCCACAACAACACTTCCAGTTTTCTGGTGGTGAGTCTCCTGCCCTGGCTGGCTTCAAACCACCGGATCTGAGTAGCAAGGATTACAAACATGAGCCAACGTTGCCCAGCTTGTTACTACTTCTGATTTGGTGTCAGTGTTCTAGTTCTTATGGCTTATATGCCTTTTAATGATAATCTTTATATTGGGTATTAATGATTGGATTCAAATTTTAATTATCTTCTAGTATGTATTTTGTATGCCATCTTTGCCTTTATTAATTTCATTTTTCCTTTTTCATAACACATTGTACATATTTTTGCAAACCAACTTAAATACTCTAACTCTTCTGAGCTTATTTATGGAGCAAAAAGACATATTCTTTAATCAGGTTGAGATTATATATGATGTAATTTTTAAAGGGTAATACTAGAGTTTGAACTCGGGACTAGGCTTGCTATATAGGTACTATACCTTTGAATCATGACTCTGGCCTTTTTTTTCATTGATTTATTTTTGAGTTAAAGTCTTCCTTCCTGCCTTGGTGTGCACTTGGACCCTATCTCACCTATTTTGACTTCCTTTTGTACCATGGTGAGAGATGTGTGCCATCATGCCATATTTTGTTTTTTTTCCACTCAGATGGAGGCGTTTAGACTTCCTACCTGGATTGGACTAGCATTTTAATCTTTCTGATTTCAGTGTCCAACTAGCTATGATTACAGATGATGATATATATTACATATATATATATATATTTTTATATATATTTGTCTGGTTTTTGACTGTATGCAGTTTAATATCCATCTTTTGCCAAATAATTTATTATATATGCATCAAAATGTAAAATTTTTCATCCATATCAATATTCATAATTAAAGAGATAGTTAAAATATACCATTTCAGTTTATAAATTGAAATTAAATCTTGGCTAATTTTAACCACTCTCACAACCACTTTCTGGAGTTACAAATTTAATCACATATAGCTGCATTTCTCTAAGTCTCAGAAAACGTAGCTTAGACTTTTCTAAAGTGCTAAAAATATTTAAGACAGGCAATTGCTTTATGGGTTAAATCTATATCCTCTGAAACACTTCATGTAATTATGCTTCTCATTTTATTAGGTCATTTTGTTTTTAGTTGGGTTCCTCTGTTGCAAAAGAGGAGAGTATAATTCTTGACCACAGACTTTTGGCAATATAAGAGTGTTTTTTAGGGATATGAATGAATGTGAGACACTGAAGTTAAAGAATTATACCTCTAAAGGACCTCAATTCTATGTCCTGTTGTTTTGAAAGTTTTAAGGAAATTGCAGAAAGAGGAAATGGATTGGTTGCTGTGATATAATTAGTGCTATTTTTATCCTCTTAAGTTCACAAGTTTCAGGGACAAGGAAAATATATGCAAAATGGAAACATTCATCTTCCTTGATTTTTATTAATGTACACTCAAAATGTCATAAAACGTGCACTTTGAAACATGTTTTCCTTTCAGTTTACTAATAGAATGTGCATGTAGACAGGAAGAATAAGAAAATTGTGTATATGTGTATATATGTAATGTAACATAAATATGTGTATACATATATGCATGCATGTATACACAATTCCATAATACAGTACAAGTTAATATGACAGTAATAACTTTAATATTAATTTAATAATATTAAAACAACAATTTTAGGGAACTAAAAATTGTCTCTGGACAGAAACATTTGCAATTATTGTTAACTGTTTTAAAGAGCATATGACTTAAAATTAATTCATATCACTAGTCAATTCAGATTATGTTGAAATTTTTCTGTTAGATTTTATTAGTTCCAGTTGTTCTGTGATGGTCTCCTTGCATCTCATACAATTGGAATGACTTTTACACAATTAAAAATAACTTCTGATTTTAACTAATATTGGAGAAATAAGACCAACCATTTCTTTATGAAAAATTGGAGTGTTTACCTTTGAAGGTAAGCTCTTATATATGAAAAGAGGTTATATTAAACAACATTTTTTTCCTCAGAAAGGCTTTTATTTTAATGCACAGCTATATTAGAAACAAAGAATGATTCTTAAGTTGAGACCATGTAGAGTTTAGGTAAGATAACTAAGCTAGTTTCTATTTTTTTATCACTCACAAGATAGAAGAAAACTATTTCTCTTCTGTAGTTGGGGTGGGCATTAATAGCACTGAGCTATATTGATCTGTTACAGCTCACAGTATAACAACAAATAATTATTTCACTTTACTTCAGTAAATACAAGGAAGTCTCCAACTGCTAGATTGGAAAAGAAATGCTCAGTGTACTATATGTTTTTCTCATCATCTGGTTTTTTTTTTATCTTTTATTTGTGAACATACTGTACAGAGGGGTTACAATTACATGGGCAGGATAATGCGTACATTTCTTACCAAGCATTGCAGCCTCCTCCTTTTGTTTACCCTTCACATCCCTTCCCAGCCTCCCCCTCCCCCCCAATCCCAATCCTTCTCCTTCCGCCCCCTTCATCATCTGTTTTGGTAAATATTTACTCACTTGAATGAAGCAAGTACTGTAAACATTGTGTAAATTAATAAGACATAAAGTGCTTTGGAATAATGATCATATGAAATAGCACTTTTTCATATTGAGCACAGATTTGTGAATCAAGGTGTGTTGGTATAGACTGAAGACTTTTCTCTTGAAATAAATTCAGAATCCAAAAATTTGATTTTTAAATATGCACTGTAATCCTTAGGTACTACTTCACATAATGGCCCTTTATCTCATAAAATTAAAAAAAAATTAAAAAATCAGTTGCTACCCTTAATTACTTAAGACCTTGAACCCTTTTGGCCAAAGTCATGACATTCTTTATCTTCTTCCCCAGCCCAAACAAAAGACTGAACCTTGGTTGGACAAGGATATCATATGTTTTCAGTCTAGAGGAGGACTTTCAAAGTTCACATCCATCCATTTCTTTGCACAGAACTGCCACCTCCTCTGAATTAGGAGTATTTAAAAGGAACAAGGCCCCTTCTTCCCTTAATTTTTCACTTTACTTTTAGTTTTCTGTTGTTTTGTTAGGCAGTCTATATATTTTTATGCAACTCATAGATCCTAGTAGAATATAAGTTTAAAGAATGAGACAAAGATTTTTATCAACCTAATGTCTTATAAAGCAGCGTCCTGCCTAGGAGACATACCAGAATTACTCAAGTGATGCTAATTTTTTTTTAAAAAGCGGGATTAACAAAATATAAAACTAAAAAAAGAGAGGTCTCTTGCTTCTATATCTTAGAGTTCATTTCAATAAGAATATTATTGTATATAAATATGAGAAAAGGGTGAAAAGTGCAGCAGTGGAGCTCACTGGATGGATGAAAGTGAACTATACACCTCGTAGGTGGAGACGGGAGGGAGGGACTGGGAGAGAGTGAGGGAACAGAAGATACTATTCAAAAGGAAACGTACTCATTACCTGACTCATGTAATTGTAATCTCTTTTTGTACCTTACCTCTATTATAACAATAAAGTAAACTGATAAAACAATTAAGTTTACCTACTGCATCCGAATCTTCAGGACAGGGGGATTTATGTATATTTTAATAGTTCCACAGCTGTTTTGATCTTTATCTCTGATTTCAAACCAATATACTATAGCATGTTATTGGTTTATTTTCTATGTAACTTAACTCTATAATAAATGTTTTTCTAGAATTATTAGTATTGAGAGTTTTAGCTTTGTTTTAGAGTTAAATTCATAAAGATTTAAGCATCTTTATCTTTTTTAAAGTACCTTCTTTTTCTACTTTATTATTCCTATTATTATCTTTTTGTGTAAGAGGTTTTCAATTCAACATGTCCACTTATGAGTACCATGAGTCAGATCAATGCCACCTCATTCATCTTTCAGTCTTTATGTTCAATGCAAACCTGTTTATGTTTTGAAGTTAGTATCATTGTATAGTAAGAACACTGAAGTAAATAAGAGTTACATATAGATTTATTGCCATTGTAAAAATAAACAAATTTATTAGTTATCTATCTGCTTAAAACTTGGAGTAGTTATCACTGAATTTATATTTTGTAAGGGTTGGGAATGTGGCTTAGTGGTTGGGTGCTTGCCTAGCATGCATGAAGCCCTGGGTTTGATTCTTCAGTACCACATAATCAGAAAAAGTCAGAAGTGGCGCTATGGCTCAGGTGTTAAGGTGCTAGCCTTATGCAAAAGAAGCTCAGGGACAGTGCCCTAGCCCTGAGTTCAAGTCCCAGGACTGGCAAATTAAGAAAAAAATAATTGTAACTATAAAAATGTATTACAGAAATATAAATTATTACATTAACATGTAAGAAAAAATGTTCAGATTATATGGCACCAACATTTTTTATAGCAGATAGATTTTATATACCACAACTATTAATAGTTTGCTTGTCTATTAAGCACTATTTTAGTGCTAGTACATTGTGTTTTTGCTTTCAAAATTACTTCTAAGTGCCATGCTGTTATTTCCCAATTCCTGTACCTCATCTGCTAACTGTCCTCCTCCATTTCCTCCATCACCAAACAGCTTTCACAAGTCACTGGATGGGCTTTTGCATGGCTGTTCAGGAAAACCCATCAACTGGAAGAAATTGCATATTCATGACAAGTGCCTCTGAGTGTCGAGTTGTATGACATCTCATTTGAAATAGAATTCAAACACTGATCCACCCAAGTAACAGAGCTAATTGAGTTTAAATTCTATTAGAGTCAAGTAGAAATTACTGTCATTATCTAAATGGACATTTTAAAAGGAGAAGAGAGTATGGGATCCCTCATCCTTACCTAGTATGTGAAATGTAATAGGAAAGAGACCCTAAGGTTTCCACAGATCTTACTCTTTGGTGGATTTGAGAGGATGACTTTCCAATTATTATAGGAAATAGTATGTGGGGAGAGAGAGGTGACTATCAAGTTATAAGCTCCTATCCATGTCTTAAAGACTAATTGCATGTTTTTTTCTGCTGGGTGGTGGGGACTGAATTTAGGATATGACAGCACGGGATCTGCTGCAGCAGAGATACACTCTTCCCAATGGAGACACTGCCTGGCGGTCCTCAGCCCTCGTGAATGCTGCATTGGAAGGGAAGCTGGTCCTGTTGGATGGCATTCACCGAGTCAATGCTGGCACACTTGCTGTGTTGCAAAGGTTTGTTATGAGTCACATATGCACACACACACACACACACACACACACACATATACACACCATGAGCAATTGACATGGAATCCTATTTTCAAATGGGGGGGAGGTAAAAACTAAAAATTCTATATCCAAGTACAATGGTAGATTATTTATTGTTATAAACACATTTCTGCGAATCTTGGACAGGTTTGGAAATACCGCTGCCATATCAGTGTAAAAGCTAAGGAAAAGAAAACTTTTCAGTAGTAATTTTGAGAGACTTTTTGTATATAGATTTACACATGCCACAAGTGTCACAGCTAGAGTTTGTTAGTCATAGCTTCACTGATTACAGATTCCTTACAGATCTATATCATTGATTGATCTTAGAATCTTTATTTGAAGAGTGAAAAATACATCGTTTTAATATAAAATGTGAAGTGTGTGTGTGTGTGTGTGTGTGTGTGTGTCCTGCACTTAAACTCAGGGCCTTTTTTTTTTTTCTCAAGGCTAACATTTTACCACTTGAGCCACAACTCTACTTCCAGGTTTTGGTGGCTAATTAGAGACAAGAGTCTCATGAATTTTCCTGCCAGAGATAGCTTCAAATCTCAGTCATCAGATCTCATCCTCCTGAGTAACTAGGATTATAAGAGTGAGCCACCAGCACCCAGCTAAAATGTGCAGTATTTATATGATAGATGCCTCGCAAAGCTTACTTCATATGTACAAACTTGAACATTTTTGAAATGGTTGTTTCTTTTTTAGTGTAGGTAAGATAAAGCACCACACATTCCTGAAAATTTTGTTCAATACAGTATTTAGATAATATGCTCCATGTAGAACTTTTGAGGGAAATATTCCTAACTTGTTATTTTAGGGCATTCATTACTGATTTTTTTTGTTTTATTTTGGTGCTGTACATTGTAGACATTTGATTTATACTTGGACTTATTGGAAGGGATCAAATAAGTAGAATAAGCCATTTCTTCAACTATTTGGTTTTCATCTTTTTAATAGTTGCTACAAAGCTATTGTTCAATGTAATTTCCTATTAACATATAAATATGATTATGTCCATACATTAATATTGTTCTTTGACAAGATGCAGATACTGAGTATAAGTAAAGATGCCCAACAAGAGGCTGAAAGTTATGGCTCTTTTGCTAAGTTTATGCTTCTACATTTCCTCCTTAGAGGATGGACACTTACAAATAGTGATACCCAGTCTTCACTGCACAGTGCTGCACAATGCTGATGTAATTGGCCCATGCTAAGGTGAACATTGGCATTTTTAAACACTTCCCAAAAGATTTTAATGTATAGTCAGTTGAGAATAATATACAATCATGTTATATTAACTGATTTTCACAGCAATTCCTATGAGGTTGTTATTATCAACTTAATTTTATAAATGATGAAAGTTCAGAGAGAGAGAGGCTCTTCCCTGCTCAGTCATTCAGTAAGATGCAGAGCTAGAGTTGAACTCAGACTTGACTGACCTCACTGTCCATGTCCTTAACCTCCATGTTACAGTCTGTTTCCTTCCAGCAGGAGAATGCTTATGAGGCACTTCTAACATGGGTTTTGGCCTACTTAGTTGTTGATATGCTTCAGATATCATAGTACCTGGAAGACATTTTATAGTATGTAAGATTATATTACTATAAAAGCTTGAACATGCAGTAACAGAGTATATATTATCTAGACTTTTTTCATATCTTAAATTCTGTATTTCTAAAGGGAGAAATAGTTTTGATAGTATTTTCCCTTTAAAAGTTGCATTAAACTTATGCCACCTGACTTGATCATTAATGTATACCTCATTTTAGCTATTTCTTCTTTTGTTTCCCACCTTCTCTCTTTCTTTCTCTTCCTTAACTTTCCTAACCTCATCTTGTATTCATGACTGCTGCTCTCCATACAGAAACCAGCAGTTCAGCCAGGTATAATTTCAAGTGCTAACCATCTTAAAAATTTGAAAAGTCCATCTAATAAAATTGTTAGATGGCACAACTGTTAACATAATAAAATGTTGACTGAGTGACTCTCCTTTTAATAATATCAGTGTTTAGAATGGAATACCTTGTTTCCTGACATTCTCTTGTCTCATTAGGCTAATCCATGACCGGGAGCTCAGCCTCTATGATGGCTCTAGGCTTCTGAGAGAAGACCGCTACATGTGTTTAAAAGAGGAGCTGCAAATGTCTGATGAGCAGCTACAGAAGAGGTAATTTTGAGTTCATTTACTGTTCAATTATTGTTAACTTGAAAATAGTATTGCTCATTATTTTTCTAAACCTAAGGTCAAGCCAGAATTAATTTGGTATGGGCATGGTCTGTAACTTTGTAGAACTTGAGATCACTGATCACATTTTTTTCTCTACTCTCAGCCTTGCTTTTGAACAAGTATCTAAACTGTGGGTTAAAGAAAGTCAGTCATCCTTTGGGCTGGGAAGGTGGCTCGGTGGTAGAATGCTTGCCTCGCATGCATGAGGTCCTGGGTTCGATTCCTCAGCACCACATGAGCAGAAAAAGCCAGAAGTGGCACTGTGACTCAAGTGGTAGAGTGCTAGCCTTGAGCTGAAGAGTTGAGGGACAGCGCCCAGGCCCAGAGTTCAGGCCCCATAACCGGCAAAAAAAAAAAAGAAAGTTATCCTTCATGTGGGCCCTACCAATTCAGCTTTGGCCTCATGCTGCTTGTTAGCAAAACAAAGTTGCTTTTACAATTAACTGGGCCAAGTTTCCTCAATATCATCAGTATGACACAGGATGCTCTATTTTCCAGTGGGACCTATTCAGACTTCTGTCTGAATGTACAGTCAGTTGAGAATAACCATTAATATACAGTCATGTTATATTAACTAATTTTCACAGCAATTCCTATGAGGTTGTTATTATTGACTTAATTTTATAAATGATGAAAGTTCAGAGAGAGAGAGAGAAACACAAAAGCAACAGCTGAGATTTCCAGGAGTAAGAAACAAAGTGAAAATAGATATAAAAGACAATTATAAAGAGCTAAATATGAACTCTGTATAACTTACATGATATTGAATTAGTCTTTATTTTCTTAAATATCATAATGTCATTGCAGTTATGAAGGAGAGTATTCCCATTCTTAGGAATACCTAAGAATAGAATACCTAAGTATAGAATAAAGTTTAAAAGATGTTTGCAATTTCCAAATATTTAAGGGAAAAAGAAAAGGATAAAAGACACAGACATGTGTCAACATGAATGCACAAACCAGACATCAAGTGAGAATGAGAACACAGCATGTTGAAAAAAAAATCTCAAAACTGGAAAAAAAAATCTAGGTGAAGGAAATAAAATTGTGTGCATTTTTCTCTTTAAATTATCTATAGGTTTGAAAATTTCAGAATAAAACCTGTTCATGAAAATATTTTTTTAGCTGCGTGTATTTTCCCTTAGAGGAAGTTTGGCAAATATAAAATATTTTCCATGCATAATTGCATTTCTGTGGAGTGTGTGTATGTGTATATGTATATATGTATGTGATATTGAAGTTTCACCTCAGAGCCTCTCACCTAGTAGGCAGGCACTCCACTGCTGAGCCATACTTCCTTTTTCGCACTGGTTATTTTTGAGATAGGGTCTAACATATGGACTGTAATCCAACTATTGGGATAGTAGGTGCACAACACCATGCCTAGACCTTTCATTGAGATGAAGGATCATGAGCTTTTCTGCCCTGGAACTTCGGTCTTCTCCATCTCTGCCTCCGTCATTGCAAGAATGACAGGTATATCCCATCACACCCACCTGTTGGTTGAGAGGAGAGTCTTTCAAACTTTTTGCCTAGGCTAGTCGTAAATCAAGATCCTTGCAATCTCAGCATCCTACAGAGCTAGAATTATAGACATTATCCATCAGCACCTGAATTCTATGAATATTTTTTTGGGGAGGGGGGTGGTCATGGGCCTGAACTCTGGGCCCACTGTCTCTCAGCTCTTCACCTCAAGGCTAGCGCTCTACCACTTCAGTCACAGTGTCGCTTCTGGCTTTTTTTTTCTGCTTATGTGGTGCTGAGGAATTGAACTCAGGACCTTATGCATGCAAGGCAAGCGCTCTACCACTGAGCCACCTTCCCAGCCCTCTATGAATATTTTTAACAAGATTAGAGATTGGCATATTGGAGAACTCCTAGTAACTTTAAATGACTTTAATTGAAGCTTCTCTCCTTCCCAAAGGGCTTGCTGCCATATTGACAGGAAAGTAAAATAGGCTCTGACTATAAGGGAGTGGAGTAAGTGTCAGTGGTAGGGATAGAGTGAGCAGACAGATTGAGGATGAGTATGAGCCAACTATTATTTGCATATATGAAAATGAAACAAACCTGTTAAAATTATTTTAGAAGGGAAGTGTTAAATTTCTTCTGTGTTATTAAGAATTTCACTCAATTACACAGTTGCTTATTCTTCTGAAGAGTATATTATGAAATATTATGAAATTCCTCTATCTCTAAAAAAGTTTGCAAGTTGTATGCATTTCATACCTTCAGTTCAGAACATTCATCTTTCATACATTAGTTACATGTGACTCACTTGCTTAGGAGAAAGTTTGTATTTTTCAGACAGATGAATCAAAGCAATTGGGCAATACCTCACAGCAAGCTTGCCTGGAAGTTTTCCTTAGGATACCACGAGCATTGTACTCACGCCAGATGTCCCAGACATGACAACCCTTTTTCTATGAAAAGGACCTAAGGTTTTCCTAATGGTCTCAAACAGTTTTGCAAATGAAAAACACTTTTAGGAACAGAGTGACCCTAGGAGTCATGCTCAGGGTTTGGCTTACATTGGTCAGTAATACTTTCTAAAGTTTCCCACTTTTATCACTCTCATATGCTGTCTCTCCCATACTTACAAACTCAGCTTATGACTCTTTGTCCCCTATGTATGCAACCCCAGTTTGCCTCCACCTCTAGAGGTCACTCTGAGAAAATGGAGATATCACAGCAAGGCTTGCTTTCCTTCAGACTTTTATTTGCCAATGTTGACTATACATGAAAACTTGAACTAAATGACTTTTCAAACCATTTATGAAAAGAAATCAGGCCCTTTTCATCTATAATCATCTATCATTTTCTACTTCTCTACAGACTTTCTAAACTTTTAGTGACTTTTTTGTTACCTACTAAGCAATATGTTTTCATTGAGATTTCTTGAATAATTTTTTAGTGATAGAAATTATATCTCTGTACCAGTGTGTCATGCCTGTAATCCTAGCTCTTCAGAAGGCTGAGATTTGAAAAGCTCAGTTTAGAGCCAGCTGAAGCAAACAAATACCTGAGAGTATTATCTGTAGCTAATCAGAAAAAAGCCAGAACTAGAGGCTTGGAACAAATGGTAGAGCACCATCTGTGAGCAAATAAGCTGATCAAGAGCCTGAGGCCTTGAGTTCAAACTCCCAAGTACTGGCACAGGGGAAAAATTTATATATTGATTTTCCACATAGAAAATTAAGGATCAATCCTTATAGATCCTTTCTTCTCACGACACATGTATACTTGTCTCCATTCTTCTTGAAGAGTTACTTTATTTTGTTTAGAACTTTGCTCAGTTTTTATTGAGCAAAAGCATAATGCATTTTATTGTGATATCATAAAGACAATATCTGGCTGAGCCACTTAGTTTACTGTAATCATTTTCCCTTTAGTCATGCATCCTGTTTTTTTCTAAAGTTAGTAATTACATATGAAAGCCATAAATAAATAAATAAATAATTACAATACCAATGTGGATGTTAGAAAAAAGTCTGGCAGCACAGAAGAGGACCTATTTTCTGTGTATATATCACTTTTTCACCCTGAATCTTTCTTCTGTGGAACTCTTCTCAGCATATTCAAGCATGTCTCATATTTATCAATCATCATTTTCCCATGTTGTATTCTCACCTAATCTGCCCTTGTTGTTCTTTATACTTGTATGAAGCTATGTAATATCATCTTAGACTGCTCTGTTTCAATATCCCTGGTTTCCTGTACTTTCTCTTCATAAATCTTTCATTATGTAGATATGCTGTACCTCCTGGGCTAAATTTCTAATTTTCATTCCTTTTCTTTTCATAAACTCAAGGTCTCATGTTCTTATACTCTACCATTTGAGCCATAGTTCCACTTCCAGTGTTTTGCTGGTTAATTGGAGATAAGAGCCTCTTAGACTTTTCTGACCAAACTGGCATAGAACCATAATCCTCAGAGCTCAGCCTCCTAAGTAGCTAGGATTATAGGCATGAGCCACCAGCACCCAATTAATTTTCTTAATCTCTCCCCCCTCTCGCTCTGTCTCTCTTCTCCCCACTCCTTCCTTTTCCTCCCTGTCTTCTGAACATTCATCCTTATGGTATTAATAAAATTTAAGGCCTGATATGACCAGGCAATGCTCTACTGAGCTACATTCCTATACCCTCAGCTTCTCTTATGTTTTGTCAATTTTGGGGGCCTTTATTAACTTTTCTGAGATAAGCTGTTCTAACAATTATTCTCCTGTCTTGTCTAAAGTGTTTTTCTACTTGAAAACCGGATTCTATTTCTTATACGTTCCTTATTTGTAACCAAGAAGGAAAGTTTTCAAATGATTGTAAACAGGTTTTAGTTTTTGTTGTTGTTGTTGAGTGTAATCTTTTTTACACAATCTGCTTCATTGTTAGGTATAGGTTACTTAAATTTCTTTACCTCTTTTTGGTTAACTTCGGTTTATTTTGGAAACTCATTTTTGTCTTTTTGAGAATGAATATGTTTTTTTTTATTATCACAATGAACTAGGTTCTTCTAAGTCAGTTGGCATTACTTCTTTCAATGTTGTGTTTATTGGGTAACAGCTTGTTACTGAATTTATTGCTTAACAGTTTGACAAAAAGGATACATAACACTATAAAAAGCAGAAACTTGTACTGGGCAAGAAAATTAATTCATTTCATGAGTTGTTCTTGTGAATATGACCTCTTATCTAGCTTGAGTTGATTTATACTCTATCCATATCAAATGTCATTCTTGGCATTCACATTACAAACTACTACTAGAAACTGATGACCCAACGTACCTCTTCATTTCTGTACTTACTGACAAACTGAAGTTCAGCAGAGACTTGCCTTTATAGTATTAAAACCCACTGGACTTTCATTTTAATTTTATTAATGTTTTATTTGTAGTTGATTTTAAGACAGGAAAAAGATTAAACATAGGATGACAAAGAAAAATATTGC